CAAGCCGCCAAGCCTTTTGATCCAAGAGGCGTACGCCATTTGCCGACCACCATGGAGAGGGGATATTGTTTCGTCTGCCCGGCAAGGGCGCAGGAGGATGAGGATCAACAGTAGGGAGTCCCATTTGATTGCGTTGCAGACACCCTACCAGGCAGCACTTGGCATTCCAGCACGCGTCAACGTGTCAAGGGGGCGCGGTGGCTGATATTAACAAGCAGCGTGCGCGGTCGTGCGACCCGTAAAAGGTGCACGCGACGTTTCAACATCGTCGGGTGCGCGCGCGAAGGGATGCACGTTGCGTTTCAAATGTGATAAGGTATTGTTTGTTCTGGTGTGTGAGTGTCGCACCGCCTTCGCGCGGGAGGCGGAGCACAATTGGACCATTCCAGAGCCGAGCGTTCTGATGCATTTCGCATTGGCTTGTTGTAAACGAGCCCTCCACCTCACCCTCATATGACTCATATGTGCGTTTGTATGTGTTCTGGGTGCTGCATTGTCCATAATGCCAGGGTCGCCATGTTGGACTGGTAGCTATTTGAAATTAAGAGTTAATAGGAGTTAAGATGGTTCATCGCATGCCAGTCACTCAGCTCAGCATACAACGCGCGCGCGCCGAGGTGCGCACGCGTGCGCAGTGTGCGCGGGCATATAACATCTGTAACGATGTTACATCGAAAACCCAATGGGGGAAACCCTGACAAAATATGGTTATGATCCCGAGAGATGGTTATGTAATACGGGCGAGTACATGAAAACGCATGCAGCATGCATTGCGGGCGCGCGCACGCACGAAACAGGTTAACTATGCTGAGCGATGTCGAATCGAAAATCCAATGGGGAAACCAAATGTAAAAGTCAGTTCTGGTCACAAGAGAGGGTCATCATTATCATTATGAACAAGCGCACTGCCCGCCGACCCGCCGCCAGTCAAACCGCCGCCCGCCGACTCGCTGACCCACGCGCGGTGACCCGCCCAAGTGGGGGTCACCCGCGCGTCAGTCGATCACCCTGAGGGCTCCCGCCGCCGCCCGCCGACCCGCAGTCCGCCGACGCGCCGCCCGCCGCCAGCCGAACCGCCGCCCGTCGAACCGTAGCCCGCAGGAGCGCCGCCCGCCGACCTTGTGCGCGCGCCAATTAAATGACCTTCTGTTGGGATCAAAACGCTCCCGCCAAGGGTCTGCGACGTTTTTAGTTTTTCTTTTTATTTTTTTTTTTTTTTCTTTTTTTTTTTTTTTTTTTTTTTTTTTTTTTTTTTTTTTTTTTTTTTTTTCTTTTTTTTTTTTTTTTTTTTTTACTCTTTTCTTTTTCCCCCCTTTTTTTTTTTTTTTTTTTTTTCTTTTTTTTTTTTTTTTTTTTTTATTTTTTCCTTTTTTTTTTTTTAATTTTTTAAATTAATTTTTTTTTTTAAATTTTTTTTTATTTTATTTTTTAATTTAAATTTTCTAGATTCGTATTTTTAGTTGTTTTTTTTTTATTAAATATTTTTAATTTTTTATTTTTTTGATCATTTTATTTCTTTATCGTAAATATTTTTAAATAGTGGTTTCCTTGTTTGGTTTTCGATTTAACATCGTCCAAGCTTTCATATGCTCGCCGAGTCAATTACATGTTACATGACCCTCGTTTGAGATCAGACAACTAGATTGTACATGGGGTTTTCCCAATTGGGTTTCATATAAAACAGCGTCCAAGTGTGTATGGCCACACACACAGTCACACACATACACAGGTGCGCGAGCGAGCGCGCGCGCCGTGGCGCGCGCGCGGTGAGTTCTGCATTGTCCAACAATCCAAAATCGCCATGTTGGCCCGGGGACTGAAGTGATCCCTTAGCGGTGACCGATCGGATTAAGGAGTTGAGATGGATTCTTCGCATGCCAGTCGTATGGCTCAACATACAACGCGCGTGCGCGAGTATGTTGAGCCATACGACCATATTGGCCTGGGAACAGAAGTTTACAATTTAGGCTAAGGGTAAACGCCTGTAATCCAATCGGTCACCGCTAAGGGCCTTAGCGGTGACAGATTGAATTTCGAAGTTAAGATGAGCTCCTCGCGTTTCAATTAAACAATTCAGCACACACAACTTGTGTAACGTGCGCGCCATTCCTCAAACCGTTGTCTCGGCCTGGGTGGTATGGCGCCGCGAGCGCCAAGCGAGCATATCCCCTGCCCGGCGCGGCGTAGGGAAGCCATCGTCGTACGTCGTCGTCGTGTTTCGTGGTCGTCGTCGCCATCATCGCCTGGTAGCTCTTAAACAAAAATGGCGTTAGGTCGGCGCATTTTGGTGGGTCGGCATTGGGCCTCATTGGTGGCGCTTGGTTTCGGACGCGTTTGTAGGAGGGGATGGGGGAGGAAGCGGGAGGAGTGCTGGCTGAGGGCGCAGAAGTGAGGGATGATGATTGAGGGGGAGGGCCGTCTCTTCTCTGCCTTTCCGCCTTGGTCTCCATCGCTCGGCGCCCCGCCAGGCGCCGATGGACCAGCTAATCAGCATGGCGGGTCAGGCGCCGCCGCCAGCAGGGCTGGGGGGTGGAGCAGATGGAGGGTAGAGGGAAGAGGAAGAGAGACTAGAGATGATGATATGAGTCATGTCATATCATATAATAATATATTATAAAATATTCATCATATCATATACCATATAATCATGCATATATATATATATATATATATATATGTGTATATCATATGTTTAATACGGTATGTATGTCATATGGCATGATGGAGGAGGGGCACTCATGAGGGCGAATGGAGGAGGGGAGAGGGAGAAAGGAAGGACATGGGAATGGGAAGATGACTAGCTGGAGGCGGGGGAAACACATCACATCCGCATGTTCCGGGGTTGGTTTCAGAGATTGTATCGTCATGTGGGCAGCGGCAGGACCGCCATCTGGGGTCACGGGGTTGGCTCCAAATGCCAATCTAAAGCAGTATTGGGCCGTATTGAGGGTCGTCGTTGGCGTCTCGCGGGCAGTCTTGAGCTGTCGTGGGGTCGCATTGCCAAGGGGGTCGTCGTGGGCCAATGTGGGAGGGGGGGAGGGGGAGAAAAGGGGGCCATCTACGTCCACCCTCTCAGCCTCATCTGCCGCCCGCCCTATCGCCCTGCGAGGTGCTAGCTGCGCCGCTTCATCGTCGAGGCAGTCGTACGGACCAGGCGGGCGGGTGCTGTCGCAGCAGGGCGTGCACATTGCATGTCACATGTACCACATGTTGGTGAGGTGAGCTTGCTAGATATATCACCGACCCATCTCTGTCGGCTCGACGGTGCGATCATGTTGCCAACTGAGACACAATCCGTGTCCCATGGGCCGGTTGGATGATGTGTTCGCAAGCTGTGGAGGCATTGTGTTCAATGCTAATCTTGTGGTGTCCGCGCAGCCCGACTCTGACAATCCGACAGTCGTAATCTGGATAACAGTGCGAATCCGAATCAACGGAACCAAGAACTTTCAAAACCGAACCAGCGAAACATGAACCAACGAAAAAAACGAACCACCGAAAACACGAACTTCCAAAAACCGAACCTATGAAAATAAAACAGCATGTTCAGTTCTGAAAAACCGCACCTATCGCTTAAATGAACATTTATTGCCTTAAATGTCATTTAAGCAGCTAAATTTTCATTTAAGCGACAGGTTCGGATTTTGAATCCATCCCCAAAACGGAAGTTCAGATTTTGGAGGTTCGGAAAAAAACGAAGTTCGGTTTTTGCATGTTCGGAAAAACCGAAGTTCGGTTTCGAGAGCATGTTCCGAACACGACGTGCGGGAGGGTGCGCCGGGCTCGCCAACGTAAGTCCCCCAAGTCCCCCTGACCACCCCCCGTTGCCTTCCTCCAGGACTGGGCTCGCCAACGTAAGTCCCCCCCCCCCCCCTGCCCCCTGGACTCGCCAACGTAAGTCCCCCCCCCACCCCTTGCCCCCTCTGGCCCCCTCCCTCCGCGTCCCCCCCGGGAACTAGACTCGCCAGTGCGATTGCCCCCCCCCCCCTCCCCCCTGGACTCCGGCATCTTTGGGCTCGCTCCCCCCACGTATCGCATTGCGTTGTCCCCCGACTTGTCTTGGAGCCGCCCGTCGACGATGATCGATGCGAGGTGTCCACGTCCAGGCTGTGGGGGGAGTTATGGTGCACTGAGTCTTGATGCGAGCTGGAATAGCATCCTCCTCGTCCTTCCCGTCCTCTTCGAATTCATCCGATTGCCGTTTGGGCTCCTGGCGTTTGACGTTCACAGGTTTGTTGTGTACCTGGCTGACCCAGTCACTTCTACAGCAAGAAGCTCAATAGTGCAGAGCGGCATGGTGGCTCACTCGATGACAAGCAGCGCAGAGACGGCGTCTTCTTCGGGAGGTCGAGGTTCCCAAGTGGCGCTGGAGAAAGGCCCCAGGCTGATCAATGGCGTGATGTACATCAAGATCAAGAGGTGCGAAGGGTGCGGTTTGACCAATGCAGATGAGAACCCCGTGACCGATGCGAAGAGTCCCTTATCGGCGGGCCCCACTGTGGTGTGGAAAGGCGGCACGTCGACAAACCCATCAGGGCCGTCGTGCCAGCTCTGCTTCTTGGCTTGGGCCTTGGGGGGCTTTGCGGATACACACGGATGGGATTGGACCGCCTTCGTCCGGGCCCTCAAGGATTCCAAGGACGGCCCCCAGCTGATGACCGAGTGGCTCGCCTGCTACAAGTATTGTCTCGATCATGCTGCCGAGTTGCCGTCCCGCTGTGGAAAGCGATACATGGTGACGCGGATGTCGAACCATCACCGATCCCATCGTGTGTCGGATTGGGTGTTCGTCTCCTAGTCTCCTAATCTAGTCTAGTGACTAGACTCGAGACCCGAGACTAGACTAGACCAGACTCTAGACTCTAGCCTAGTCTCGGGTCTCGAGTCGAGTCGGGTCGAGCCCGCACGTGGGCATCGACTGCTGCCCTACTCTCAGTGCTCCGCTTTCCCCTTCCCTGAGAGGAAGGAGGAGGCGGATGATCTCGTTTTGCCCTCGACAGGCTGTTTGGGGCGGTAAGCTGACGGACGTGCGGCAGGCCGCGGTGAAATCGTTCAAGACGACGCAGAAGAAGACTAAAGTGCCGTACATGCTCAAGGAAAAAGAACTATTCGAGCAGCAGTTCCCTGGGCGGATCGAGAGGGAGGGGCTGAAGGTCCAAACCAAGTTCCTCGAAGGCAAGTGGAGGGAGGTCGTTGCTATCCGACAGATCGAGGAGGGCGCCTGGATGCTGGATCTGGAGGAGATCGTTGGGGCCACGGTGGAGGAGACGCACTTGGAGGCTGGGACCGCGATCCGCGCCAACCAAGCCCAGGATACCTTCCAGCACTTGGCGAAGAAGGCCCGCTTCACCAAGGAGGAGCAGGAGGGCGCTGCGTCATTCCAAGCGGCCGCTGTGCCTGAGGAAGACGAGGCGCCAAAGGCTGAGATTGGTGAGGAGCCTGGCAGCGATGCGGAGTCCAACGACGACGGGCTTGATGATCTCGCGATGCTCACGTCCTGCGTCCTCGACGAGGCGACGGACCCTGCCAAGGCGAAGCCGACAGCGACAAAGAGTGCTGGTACATCCAGCGGCGCCACTGGGGTGAGGGCGCAGGGCCGGCGGCCGACCACGACCGGTGGCGGTCCGCCTCCAACTCCTCCGTCTGTCAAGCGCGACAGAGTCGCTGAGGCGCTCGCAGATGCCACTGCAGTTGCGTCTCCTCAAGAGTCCGATGAGCTTCAGCAGGTGCGGAAGAAGTTCAGAGGGAAGACTGCAGACGAGCTTCTCGAACCCCATGGGTGGAAACTGCTCCAGGACAGCGTGGAGAAAGCGAAGGTGAACATGGAGGCGGCCCCCTTCAACACTCCACTCCTGGGGCCTCAACGTGACTCCTTCGAAAAAGCAAATAAGGACATGAGGAAGGAGATGGGCGTCACCCAGAAGGCGATTGTGTCATTGGACATCAAGACGAAGAAGTGGGTCGGGTGTCCATCGTGCGTCAACGTCGCTG